TGAGCGCTAAACTGTGTTTTTGCCTGGAGCCAATCAGGAGCCTCTGACAAGAGGCTGTTCCCACTCACAAATCTAATTGCAAGAGGTGTGGCTGGGGTGGCCCTGGGAACCCGGGAGAGGAGGGGGGCTGCAAGCACCTTCAGGAGACTGTTGGCCGCTTGCTTGTTGCCTTCAAAGTTCCAGAGCCACATGGGAGGGGAGGAGGGAAGGCAGAGGTCTAGGGGGCCTGGGAAGGTCTGGACTCCAGAACTTCTGCCAGTTATTACAATAGCTGCCGATGATTTAGCACCTACTATACACGGGACATGCATAGCTTCTCCTCTGGAGAACTGGATGATGTTACCTCATTTCACAGATAAGAAACTGAGGCACAGAGTGTCCCTTTTTTTTTTTTTTAAGATTTTTATTTACTTATTTCACAGAGAGAGTGCATAAGCAGGGGGAGTGGCAGGCAGAGGGAGAGGGAGAAGCAGACTCCCCGCTGAGCAGGGAGCTCAACACGCCTAGATCCCAGGACCCTGGGACTCTGACCTGAGCTGAAGGCAGACGCTTAACAGACTGAGCCCCCCAGGCACCCCGAGCGTCCCTACTTTGTGCTAGCTGTTGCCTTAGGTCTAAGTACTTTATTTACATTATATCTCTTTTAAATTTTAATCCCATTTCATACGTGAAGAAGCAGGACTCCAAGAGAGTAACTTGCCCAAGATCACAGGGCTGATTTATGATGGGCAAGGATTGAACCGGGGGCCTCTCTGACTCCAGAGAACAGACTTTTTAATTGTACTTCACCATCCCTTTATTGAGCAGGGTGTTCCGGATGGAGTTGCGAGATTTAGCAAAACAACACAAAAAAACTGAGAAGGCCAGTTTTTGAATTTGAATTTCAGAGAAACAAGGAATTTTTTTTTTTTTTTAGTATTAGATGTCCCCAATATTGCATGGGATATACTTGAATTAAAAACAATTCTTTGTTTATCTGAAATTCAAGTTTAACTGAATGTCCTGTCATTTATCTGGCAACTCTAGACCTCTCTCCTCCTGCCCCAAGCACCCCTCTTTTCTGCCAACAGCTTGCCTTTAAGGGTGGGCCCTTGGGACCAGCCATTCTGGTGTGTAGCTAGGCTGCTCAAATGAGGCTGCCCGGGGGGAATACGTTGCTTTTCTGCTCCAGGGGCAGAACCCCGAACACGAGCCTTTTCTGTCATCTACTGTGTGACTTTGGGCAAGTCTGTTTCCCTCTCTGAGCCCTCTCTGAAAAGAAGATGCAATATGAGGTACTAGGTAATTGCAAGTGTCCTCACCAGGCCTTTCCCAATATCTTGTCCCTTTTTCCGGTCCTTGCAGAAAGTGGTACAAAATCTGTGGTTGCACAGAGGTGAGGACAGGGAACACCCAACACCCAGGACAAGGAACCCCAGGGGAACACTACTGGTGTGGACTTAGAAGGTGGGGGGGGCGGTGTAGGCTAAGACTGCTGGGAAATGGGCCATGACTGTCTTTGTCCCGCAGAGGTGACAGCTTGCTACAGCATTCATACCCAAGGCTCCAGCCCCCTCCTGCACTGAAGGTTCCGTGAGCCTGGGCAAACTCCTTAACCCAGGCCAGTGCCTCAGTCTTCTCGACTGCGAAGTGGGACTCATGCTGCCTGGTACTGAACGTAGGGGACGTTCGGTAAGGCGCCAGCTGTGTAGGAAGGGCTTCATAAAGCGTTGTTTTTATCGTTGGTGGCTGTATTCCTGTTCTATGCTTCTGAAAGAAGCACCTTGAGGAATGCTAACCTCTGAAAGGACAAACACAGACGAGGCCCTTTCCGAGCTCTGGCCAAGAACACAACACATTCCGGGCTGCCTTCATTTCAGCTACATTTTATTTGTCAGATTTTTGACAGACGTCTAAATTATATATTGAATTTTCCACATGACCAAATACCACGTCCCTTCCTTTGATTATCATTTTCTAAAGGGACTATAAAAAAAGAACCTTTCGATGGATCAGACTGAACCCTGAAACCACATGGAGTGCAGAGCTAAAAATAAAAGGAAGTAAGAACTGGCCCCTGCGAAGGAAAGAGAAATCAAAGCAAACTCTGACGGGAATCAAGGGACGAGTCCTGGCGAGGGTGACATAGTGTCACCCTCCAGGCCAGGCCGGATCAGGAGCGGCCGACAGTGAGGGTGGGGCACAGAGTGGCACAAAAATAGCCTCCGCTTTAGCCCAGAGGGGAATAGAGAAATTTGTCAAAAGCCAGGAGAGAGAGAAGTGGAGTTGGAGGGAGGGAGAGGGCAGGACCGCGTCCTTCCAGCAGTTTCAGGAGCTGCAGACTTCTTCCACCCGGGCACATTTCCACCCGCCGGCACAATCGCTGACTTTCAGCTGTGCGCCGACATGTTCCCCAGCTCAGCCCACATCACTGACACCCTTGTTTCCATAGTAACCAAGGGAGAGTGAAGGGGAAAGGGTGTGCGGCGCTGGGTGCGGGGAGCCAGCCACCGGGAGCCGCGCCGGGGACGGTCGCGGCCGGGGAGGGGGCCTGTCCCGCTGTCGCGGGTGGTCTGCCGGGGCGCGACGCTCGCTGGACCCCGCCGGGGGTGGGAGGACGCCAGACCGGGTGTCCCCTTTCTGGCTTCAAATTCCAGCTTCTGGTCCCGGCCACAGCGGTAGGGGTGGGACTGGGAGGGGAGAGAGGACTTTAGAAGCGTTTTGTTTTTCACAAACGGGAGCTCTCAAACTCTGCATTTTTCAGGCTTCGCTCACCTACCCCACGAGCCCCTGGAGGGTTCAGTAGGGCTCGGAGGGAAGATGAAAGCTTGTGACATCCGCAATGTCTGTCTTTAGCTGAAAAGCCAATCTGAGCATTCACAGAGGCTGTTATCAGAGGAGGGCAAGTGGCTTCTGCCGGCTGGCTGAGGCCTTGGGAGGGCTCTTTCAAACAGTTCCCTGAGTTGGTGGTGAAAGAACGAAAATATTTCACAGGCCATCCACTGCCAAAGTTCCATGTCCCAGTGTTCCAAACTGCAGAGCTCAAAGCAGGCATTTTGCCCCTCAGGTAACATCCCTGGTGCACTATTTGGAGGGAAAAACCATTTTCAAGCGCTGGAGCCACTTTCCAGCCTGACAGAAGAGGGATTTCTGGTTCCTTATCATTCTGTTTTGCCTCTGTTCAAAGCCAGAGAGGCACCTGGGTGAGACAGAGAAGCCAGAGGAGACTGCAGGGAGCAACTTAGCTCAGTGGTTGAAAAAAACCTCACCCTCTTTTGTTTTGCAAGTCCTTACTGGTCTGTCCACAGCAACCCCACACATTTTCGTGTCTGGCGTTGTGAATGACTTTCACCCCAGACCGTCTTTGAAGCTGGCCATGCTGCAGTCTCACCTGCACAACTTCGTCAAAAAAAAAAAAAAAAAGTGCTGGGGACTGAGGGCAGGGGTGGGGGGGGGCCTGGAGTGGCCCCTTCGGTCTGCTCCAATGCCTTGGTGGGTTGGGGAAGGGCCACCTCCCAGGATGAGAAGGCAGCTGGCCTCCTGGGACCCACTAGCCACTGCACAGTCTCTCTCTTTTTTTAAAGATTTTATTTATTCATTTGAGAGAGCGAGAGCACATGAGAGGGGGGAGGGTCAGAGGGAGAAGCAGACTCCCTGCTGAGCAGGGAGCCCGATGCAGGACTCAATCCCAGGACTCGATCCCAGGACTCCAGGATCATGACCTGAGCCGAAGGCAGTCGCTTAACCAACTGAGCCACCCAGGCGCCCCTGAACAGTCTCTTATTCACACTCTGAAAACCCTGAGCTCAGGCACCAGAACAGAGTTCAATTCAGGAGCTGAGTGTTGCTCTGGCTGGCTTTCCCACGTCAAAGCTGAAGCTGGGGAATTTTTTTTTAAAGATTTTATTTATTTATTTGACAGAGAGAGACAGCGGCGAGAGAGGGAACACAAGCAGGGGGAGTGGGAGAAGGAGAAGCAGGCTTCCCGCTGAGCCAGGAGCCTGGGATCATGACCTGAGCCGAAGGCAGACGCCTAACAACTGAGCCACCCAGGTGCCCCTGAACCTGGGGAGTTCTTTGGGCTCGAGGAGACAAGCTCTTTTTGCCCTTCTTCTCCACTCCACCCTCAGAGGCCCATTTTGCTGAACAGAGGCAGAGGACACAGCCGCGGGGGTGACTCTGGCCCCCCTGGGCATGGTCCCAGCAATCATACACACCCACATTCTTCCCAGCAGCCACCCCTCTCCACCCACGAGCATCCCACCCCACCAAGCTGCCAGCACTGTAAAAATTGATCTCTTCTAAAAATCGATCAGCCAGCCTTTTCTCCATGGGGCAGGTTCGTGGTAGAGCCGCACTTATTTTTAAAGTCTGATAGCGGCGGCCTATTGTGATCATTTAAACAGAATTCTTTGAGCTTTAGAAATCCCTTCTATAGGACGGCCATGGAGAAGCCAGCTAATCTCAGAGTCGGAGGCTCACTGCTTCACTGAACTGGAGAAAGCCTGTTTACGCTAGCCTGAGCCCTCGATGTGAGAGGGCTTTTTAAGGACCTTGTAATTTTTCTGGAATTAAACCTCCCACCTCTCCTTACATTCCAGATGTCATTACAGTCAAAAGTCATAAGAATCTGCTTCCCTGTGTGGCTGGCCAGGGGGGTGAGGGGGGTGGGGACGAGGTATGTTTCTGTGGTGACTTGTTTGCAAGAAAGGTTTTCCCCCACCCCTCTCTCCAAAGGGTGAGGATTACATACACAGTCTCCTACCTGAATGACAAGATGGTTTAATCATCGGCCATCCACACCCGCACCCCCACCCCCAGGCCGCTTCCCACACTAGCTTGGTTGGTGTTGGTAAAAATCACTGCCCAGCACCAGCAAACACTGCGGTTTCAGAACCATGGGGGGGAGAGGGGGTGGGTAGGGAGGAATGTAAGGGACAGGTCAGGAAATAAATGAATGCAGCATAAGCTGCTTCTTCCTCTTTTCCTTTCTTCTTTTCTTTTCTTTTTTTTTTTCCTGAAAGAAAAAAAGCCCACTGGAATTGTCTAAACTGCAATGTAATCTCTTGCTCATTTAAAAGATCTCATTTTCTAATCATGTGCTTTGAGACATTTAATACTATTTCAATTATGCAGAGGAAATAATATAATTCCTTTATTTGAAGAATGATACTGAGCCTCAGAGATCAGTTAAAGCTGCTGGAACGGGGATTCTTTATAAACTGTGTGGTTCCCTGCCTTCAAACAGCTGTAGCTGTACGCAGATGGAAAAACATTTGGTCAGAAAGCAGCAAATTAGTGTTTTTCAGGACAGAACTCAGCTCCCACAGCTCCTGCGTCTCTCCATTCGGCTAGATTTTATTTCTTCTTTGCATTGACATTTTTGCAGACCCAGTTCATGCCGTCCTTTGAGGGAAATGGGCAGAGAAAGGCAGTGTTAGTTGTAAGAAAAGCACCCCACACTCAAGCCCGGGGAAGGAGCGGGGGGTGTCCGGGTCCTCCCTCCCCAACCTCAAGCTCCAGGGAGTTTGCTTGCCCCAGGGGCCCACCTGGGTGACCAGGGACAGTGGCCTCCTGGGGAGGAGAAGGGGGCCCTCTGAAAGCACAGGAGGGAGATGGGAGGGGGAGTGCCCAGTGTCTGAACTTGAGATGGATCCTCAGGAACTCCCTTTGAAAAAATAAACACATCTGCCTGGATCCAAGACCTGATTGAAGAGCTATCAGAGATTCCAGCCATTTTTGGCTTTTTCTAAAAGCTGACCTTTGCCAGGGCATTAAATTCTATAAGCCACCCTTCTGGTGCCCCAGTGTGTTTACAGTGTGACAGTGTACACTTGGGTTAAATTAAATTTTTTTGGAAAAACAAACCAACTGTAGTGTGTGTTACTAGACACACACTGGGGCAATGTGCATTTATTTCTCTTCGCGCAGCACTACACATAGGTTTCAAAGGGCTGGCCTGATTCTTGCAGCTTTAAGCACTACCAAGCTGAGGGACTGGGGAGAAGCTTCCCTTAAAGGCACAGTGACCTTGAAAGTGTCCTCTCTTAGAAGGCTGGAGAGGGACAGGGGTAAAAACCACGCAATGCCTACAGCCACCTGGCAGGCAGCATGATTTCCCATGGATGCCAGGCCTGCCAGAGATGACCTCCTTTTCAACCCCCTCTGGAGCCATCCCTGAATGCTCTCCCTTTCCCCAGAGTCTCTCCGACCTTCAGGGGTGTGCGGAGTTCCCTCAGAAGCCCGGAACAAAATCAAAGGAGGCTCCGGCAATGAATCCCTTTCCTCTGGCATCTGTAACACATACTCACTGAGGTCCGGGCCACATTTGCACATCTCAGGGCATACATGACATGCAGAGCCCGCATTTCCTGTGACCATGGAGCTAGCAGTTGAACCTGAACAGCTGAGACAGCTTAAAGTAATAAATATCAGCTGACACCCTTGGCCGTTCAGAGCATTAATCCCATAAAACAATACATCACTGCAAAACAACCAGCAAGCATCCTATCTCCTGGCTAATCTGACCATAACCTGAATTTACAGTGATTAAAACTCGGTCAGTTGCCATCAGAGCACTTGGGCAGGAGAACCAGGTAATCTGTTGGCTGTCCCAGGGCAGACCTTAGGGCGTTTGCCAAGATGTGGCTGGCCACCGCCTGAAGCCCAAAGGCGGACAGCACCTGGCAACAGTGGGGGCAAGGGTGGGGGGTGCCGAGGTGGGAGAAAGGTGGACTCCAAATGTGTCTCCAGTTACAACTGGGTCAGCTCCTTACTGTGAGAAGCTGAGGCCAATTTTAAGACCATTTTATGAAAAGGATTAATTTAAAGAGAAGCATGTTTAATTTTAGTAGCTAATTGGTTTCCAGGAAAAAAAAAAAGATCACCTGCCAGGAGACAAAAAAGATTTTACAAATAAAAGAGGGATGAATAAGATAACCATCTTCTCTTTGCCTTCGAAGCTGAACAGCTCAGCACTTGTGTAGCACGTTCCACCTTTAGGAACCCGTACAAACACTGTCAGAGGTGTGCACCTTCGTATTTTCTCCTCTAAAGAGACTTGCAGATTTTATCAGATCATCTTCTCAGAGAAATCAGGAACTGTTTTCCCACACTACACGAATGGCAATTTTTCCTCTTGTTTTATGGCTGATTATGGGGGGGGGTTCTTTTATTATATGTAACTGAACATGAATGCAGTCAAAGAGATAGGAAAAATATTTACTCAGCTGCAGGAACCCAAAGCAGAATGCGGAGGGTGAGGGGCAGCCTCTTCCTGGGTATCTGTTATGGAGGTAGAGGGGATTTCAAGCAGGGAGCCCTGCTGCGAGGCAGTGTCTTCCAGATGTCTGCGAGGGCCCGGGGTGGCAAAGGCCTTCCAGCCACAGTCTTGCCGACAGAGGGCGCTCAGAGGTCAGGCCCCAGGGGCTGACCTGCGGGCCCCCGGGCCTCCACAGCTGTGGCCCGTAACCTGAAGGAGTGCGGGCAGCACGCGGAGATGGAATCGGGACAAAGCCGTGTGGCTGCTCTGGCTCTCGGAGGCTGCCCCGGTCTCAAGTGTCTGGAGGTTGGGGAATGGTCCCTTTCCTGTCACTATGCAGAGGAGAACCTGAGCTGGAGGTAAGAGGTGTCGGGGAGGCCATGGTTCACGGGCTGATGCCTCTTCAGTCAAAGCAGGGACAAGCTGTGCCAAGCTGCCCCCTGCAAAGGAAAGACAGTGGTGTTGCCCAGGAGCCCTGACAGGAGGGTCCGTGTCGGACAGGCCTGAGGAGGTGTTTACAGAACCTAGCCTGGTATCATGGTATCTGGCCTCCAGCAGACGTGAAATTTCTATCTTTGAAATGAATCCTTGTAACAACGCTGTGAAGCAGGTACTGTTCTAATTTCCACAGCCCGGAGGAGGAAATGGGGAGCCAGGGTTGTGGGAGGCAGAGGCAGGCCGTGAATGCAGGCCAGAGCGCCAGCCCCCTGGGCTCCCCAGGCAGCCCCACTTCTCAGGGAATGCCGCCAGCTTAGACGACAAGGTGCGGGTCACCCTGCAGCTGGGAAAGGGAGCGGTCCAGGCTCTGCGTGCTTAGGACTTCCGGCTGACCCGGGGCCATGGCACAGGCGGGACCCCCAGCCAAGCACCCTGCACTGCTCTGCTGCCGCTCGGGAGGGGTCGGAGGCTGTTTTTGGTCACTTAACTCTCAAGATTCCCGCGCTGCGTGTGGAAGCCTGTGTATTTCCCTTGCTGCGAGATCCCAGCGGATGGGCTATCTGCCAGACCACCGCTGGCAGCGGCCGCCTGGCGCTCAGAGGAAATGAGCCCAGGGACCTTCTGCTCCCCATGTTTGCGCTAGCGCACCCCACTGCCCTTGCCTGAATTTGGAGAGGCCATGTGTTTTTAAAACAGATGACTGAGGAAAGGTGATTGTCTACCTGAAGTAGGTTACTGCTCTGCCTCCAGATGAGGAAATGAACTCATAGGTTTGTTGAATGGTTGAACCTTTATTGTTAAAAACTGGTTTGACCAAATTTCTGCACATTTGATCTGTCATGGGATGACAGTCTTAGGGCATGGGTAGTCCTCCCCGGCACCTCCTCCTGACCAACCTTGCTGAAACCCAATTGGAATTGATTAGCTTCAATTCAATAATAGAGACTAAAGAGAGTCCTTGAACCTCAAATACTGAGCTTTGTTTAGCATCATGGAAAGGAAAAAAATTTTACATTTTACTATGTCATGATATTGTTCCCTATGTTAAACACTGGGAAAAATACAAGGCTGCCCCTAACCATTTGGTGGAAATGTAGGAGTCCTGGACCCCTATGCTCCAAGACTGAAGGTGCAATGCCCCTTTCTTTCTTTTTTTAAAATTTTATTTATTTGAGAGAGAGAGAGCGCACGCACAAGCGGGGGTGGGGCACAGCAAAGGGAGAGGGAGAAGCAGGCTCCCCACTGAGCAAGGAGCCCAAGGTGGGACTCCATCCCAGGACCCCGGGATCATGACCTGAGCCGAAGGCAGACACTTAACTGACTGAGCCACCCAGGCGCCGTGTGATGCCCCTTTCTATGGGAAGAGTGACTGCACTCCTCCTTTGAACTCGTTCTTTCTACCAAGCATCCATCACTGCCTGATGGTTGGAAGGAAGCAGTAGCAGCCATGGTTGGGCGGGCCTGGTTTTTAACTTCAGGAGGACTACACCATCACATCAGTAATTGCTTTAAGATGACGAGGAGCTCAGACCCCTGCTGAGCATCACAGCCTATCCCATCGTGCCACAGGGTCCCAAGGGCCAAGGAGCAGCTTGATGCAGCGTACGTAAAATACTACTCACTATTATATTTTTTTTCTGGTGACAAAGGTACCACACCAGAGAGGTAGCAAAATCACATGTTCCAAGTTTGCTTTCTTGGTCTATAGAGAGGTTTGAAAATTTAAAAATAGCCCTGAGGTCTGACTTGTAGATAGGCAGTTCCATGTACACTTGGAGTCAAAAATAACTGACGTCAGGCCTTAGAAAGGAGGGGTAAATGTCATTTTTTAAAATATTGAAATTCTGTTGGCTTATTAAGGGCAAAGTCCCCTAGATCAAGGTTAAAAAAAGAAACAAAACCCAGAAACTTGGCCAGTGAACGTTTAGTGGCCATGTGCAAAGCGCTCTGAAAGACAGCTCCCGCATCAGGCGGGGCTTAGGTTGCTGGTGGTCCTTTCTATGTCTGAGATGACTGTGAGCCCGATTACTCCTGTTTGGAGCAGGAAGATCGGGGATGTGGGAGAGATGTGGGAGAGATGGTGAGCATCAGGTGGAGGGCACAGAGAGCAATCCGTAGGAAAACCTTCTAGCTCAAAGCTACCGGTGTAGGCAGGACTCCGTGATGACTGAAGCTAGAGGCCAGGCTGAAACTGCTGATTTCTGCTTTGAAAGGAAATTCTAATCCAGTATAATTTCACTTAAACACACACGGCATTGTAGAGAGTGAATATCTGCAACCACCTGAAACTACAAGAGCAGAGGAGAGCCATGCTTCAGGGTTCCAGTTCAGGTTTGTAGGTGGAAGAGGGATCAATTCTTCTACCTTTCTCTGGCTCTAAGCCAGATCCTCTGTTCACCATTTTCTAGACACGCAGGGGAAAGAAGAGCGTCTGGAGCTAGATGCTATGCCCTGCCTAGCCCCAGGGGCCCGGAGGGCGGCTGCCCCCATGTCTGTAAGGCAGTGTGGCCGTGTGGCCGAGGGGGCTGCAGGTTTCCCATCCCAGACATAGTTCAGTTTCTCCTCTCTCTGCATTCAGCTCCTGGACATTAACTGGGTCTCTTCTGATCACTCCTCTGGACTGTGGGCCTCTCAGCAGGGCAGAGTTTCCAAGATTGATGTTCTCCTTCAGCTTCTAGTGCCCTTTACCTAAGCTCTGCTCTTGACAGTTTCCCATGAAAACCTGCTTTAATCACATGATGGCCTGGCCCCCTCATCACCATCAATCAGGCAAAGAAAGACCTGTTCTGAACTCTCCTGAAGCCCCCAAAAGTCCATTTCCATATCCAGAGCAGGGGCTGTCGAACCACACATATTTATTTGCCTTCAGAATATCAGGCAGAACAAGAACCTCGAATCATTCCCAGGAATCACTAACTTTCTTCATCTCAAATCATGTGTTGGAGCTACTCCGCTATCAGTCCTGAGGGTTTGGCTCACCATCTAGCGGACCCGAGCCTGCTGCTCAGCTCACCCACCGGAGGGTGTTACTTATCGGGATGAGACAGGTCTCACAAATGCATTGAAGATGAAACACATACACTCAAACACAGTGTAAATAGGGACACTGTCTTTGAACACCTGGAACTGTAACAGAAATCCCAGGTCTTTTTAAAAAACCTTGGTACATTTTCTTCCAGGGTCATTAGAGCTGTGGTGCCAGATGTTACTTGACCCATTTCATGTCTGATCATTTTGGTAGGCTTGCCCATTACCGACCAGCTTTCGGGGGCAGTGGGTGGCCGAGTGGGAGGATGAAATAGGAATAAGGGCATTTTAGCAATTATTACACAGTATCCATGCCTGAAAGTGATCTTATGGACATTTTTCTAGTGAGGTCTTTCATTCTGAGGAATACTTAAAGCCTTAATTAATCAGAATCATTAAAGGCCTACACTTGAACTAAGCAATGCAGGAAAAGAATTCCAAGTACGTGACTCTTTTTAAAGTGAAAACCAAGAAACTGGCTGAGTGGGCAGGAGCTGAGGTCAGAGGCATTACCTGAGGGAGGGACCCGGTCAATCAGTGCCTCACAATGAAAACGTTTCCACAGAAAACTCCCCGACCTTTCTCCAGTCCCCAAAGGTTACCATTAAAGGACAATAGACAGCAGATTCCCTTCTTAATTAACATTTTTATTAAATAACCCATTTCAAATAATGGTTAAATTCTCTAAATTTATATCATTCTATTAACCGTAATCTAATCTCATTAACCTTGAAATCCCAGTCTTAACTACCCAATTCTATACACCATGGTACTATCTACTAAACTAATTAAGTGACCTTCAAACTATTTCTCCTCCGTATAAAATCATTATTTTTCTTGTTCACAGTTCTTTGTTGTATCTCTCTTGATATCATTTCCTGTGAACCTGGTTGCTGAGGGTCCCTGATCTGAGAAGAACATTCTGCACAAAATCAAACCACACATGACATCTCACTTGATTCAAACTGGTTGATTTTAAAGCCCTCCCTTGCCTACCCCCACCCTCAGTCTGCTAGCTCACTGCCTCTTTTTTGGCATAAAGATCCTGTGACTTGAAGGGAACTCCACTTCCATGGTGGGTGACACAGCCACGAACACCGAGCTCTCTACCTTCCTAATCTCTGCCTGACTGGAGAGGGGCAGTGGGGGTAGTGGGGGCTGGGCAATGAGGAGTGCTCCCTTCCAACCTCCAGGCTCCTCTGAAGAAGCAAGCACCCTTGACTTGAATGCCAATACTCTAAATACTGATTCTAGATAACTCTAGCCCTCCTTTTGACATCCCTAAGACTGGCTGAAGAAAACAAGAGCCTCACTGCTAATTCCAGCTTTGCTTTTTCTTCCTTTCAACACTCTGGCCCAGTGAAGAAGATTACAGAGCTGTCAATTCCCATTTTCTCAGGAGTATGCACACAACATGTATTTTCTCTAGTACCACCTTTGGAGTCTGCAACTCAAGACATTTTCTACCTCCCCCCCCCCTTTTTTTTAATTTTTAAGTTATCTATACCCAACATAGGGCTCAAACTCACAACCCCAAGATCAAGAGTCACATACTCTACGAACTGAATCAACCAGGCACCACTGTTCTCTACTTTCTATATTATTTGTGTTTTAAACCATTTAGAGAGGCAGAATCCTCTTCCTGAAGTAGTTTGTACAAACACAAGAAAGTTATTATCCTTTCCTGGGCTGCCTCCTCACCAAAATAACCTCAGGCCTCATGAATACCATTTTATGCACAATCCAGGGAACTGCCTTAGGCAAAACTTGGGTTTCTTTTTTTAAGAGAGAACCTAAATAAAATGATCAGAGTTTACCTATCAAAAACATGCTGGGTTGTAGTATACTTGTTGGACCAGCTTGTAAATTAAGCTGAAAAATGCAGTTAATTTGAAACCTGGTAGAAATATAATCACATATGTGATTGCAATTTTATAGAGGCGGCTTGAGAAGAAAAAACTAGTGTGATCCGTTCCTTTGTCCAGTGGGATTAGGGGAGAGGAGAGAACTTTTCAGTTTTTAGTTTTATATACTTGTACATGATTCACAATGAGAATGTATTACTTTTATAGCCAGAGTTTAGGATGGAAGGAAATACGTTAAGACTGAACGCCTGCCCCCTCCCAAACCTAAACCTCACAGGGACCCACAGAGCTCTGGCATCTGTTCTGGGGATGCAGCCGAGGGCCTCTCTGGCTATCTGAGAGCCCCCATAACACACACACACACACACACACACACACGTGCATGGAGTGCTTCCCAGGGCGCAGGTATTGAGGAGTCTAGAGGAGGAGGTGCTCATCCAGGGTGGACTGGTCTGCCCTCTGATCTAGAGGCCAACAAGCATAGAAGCAGGCTCCAGCTGTTTGTGTAACAAAAAGAAAAAAGCCAAAGCAGCAAACAGATGGAACAACTGAGATAATTCTTGGAAGTGACTGTTTGATTGAGATAAAAGCAGTCGGGCAGTTTTAAGACCAATCAATGTCCAATGTCTTAGGAGAGAGGGAAGAAGAGCATTAGAAGGGAAATGGAAGGAGGCTGCAGGACAAAAATGGAGAATCAAATTGCAACGACCCAAGTTGAGAGAAAAGCAAACTGGCCGTGCTGTTATGACACACGCCATATGGCAATAGGGGAAGATACCGTTTCTTCAGATGTTGCTAATCCGCCCCCCCCACCCCGCCCCTGGCCCCAGCATCCTAGAGCAGTACTGTCTGGTTCTCACAGCACTGTGGCACCTCCCTGGCAGGTATACCAGATGTTTAAATTGAGGCATGTCGGCATGCTGGGGCTCCAGAATAAAGAAGTAGCCCTAAGTGTCAACTGGTTTGAGGCTGCTTGGTGGGAAGCATCAGAGCTGAAACTTTCTCATTCTTTGAGGATGCAGGCTCTCAGGTAGCTGGGATACAACCATTTTCTGCCCTAAATTAATATCAAGTGAGGGGGGACACTGCTCTTCCAGTGCATAGTTCCTCAGTATAAAGCATGGGGCTTTCTGTCAGCAGTAGCCTCCCAGTGGGAAACCAACCTGAAGCAGCAGGAAAGAGACACCAGCCCTGAGGGCAGGGGAGTTAGCCAAGAGAAAAATCAAAACACTTCTAGGATAACTGGTGTGCATGATTGTTGACAGCTGTTACCTTGGGAGCACAAGTATTTAGCATCCATAATATTAGACACAACACAAAATCCCCAACCCAGTCATCAAAGAATCCTAGTTAGAAAGCATCTTCAAAGGTCTTCTGTTCTGACCTTCTACCCAATGGGGTAGTTTGTCCCTCGTGTGGGGTGGTTTATCTGTGGCTTTCCTGGAATAGTTAATGATTATCAAATTGGTTGCTAAGTAAAAAAGAACCAAACTCCTCCATGCCCTTCACATCCTGGAGCAGTTCATCTGCCAATCAAAGGCTATTTGTTTCATATCTTTTTCTATCTAGCTCAGCTCAACCAATGAGACAGACTACGTTGGCTGGGTGCCATGTTGCCAGGTAACCAAGCCTTCTGGTAATCTCACCTGAACGCCCTCTCCTGTGAGAGCTGAGCAGGACTGGATCTGCCAGACGCGGTCGCGGATGGTATGCAGGTTCAGTCCTTCTGCAATTTCAGAGGCAGGGGCTGCCGTGAGCAAATCCTGCTTGTTAGCAAAGATGAGCACTGGCACACAACTTAGTTTTTCTTCCTCCAGTAATTCAGCTAGTTCCTGGATCATTTTGGGAATGGATGGGAAGGGAAGGATGAAATCTATGATATTGAATCATGTATTTCTAACTAGGGAAAAACAGAAGTGTTAAGCTGCTCAACTAGCAACTTCTAAGGGCAATGGTTCTCAAACTTGAGCCTGGGGAAGAATTCCCTGGCAGATTGCTAGGCCTACCCCAGAGATGCTGACTTTGGAAAGTCTGAGGTAGGGCCTAGGAATCTGCATTTCAACACAATCCGAAAGTGGTTCTGCCATGGATTCAGAGATCATACTTTGAGGAACACTGTTCAAAGGAGAACACAAGTTATGGATAGAGATTTAAAACTTCCTCAAGGTTGTTATCTGCAAATGACTTTCAACGCATGCGTGCGGGCACACACACGCACACACACACATTTTAAACTGAAAATGACAGTGACTTTGGAGATTATAATGCCGCTTCCTCAATCTCTACCTTCAAAGCAAGCATGTATGTGCATTGCACTTCATCAAACTCACATCCTAACATAACTATCTTAGTCCGTCTGGCAATATATCTGATGTTTTGGTTATTGGTTGGGGTCTTAACTGTATGTTGATTCTGTCTGCAATAGGCATAGGAGAGGGTGTATATTTACCTACGAGGACCCACCTCTTCCCTATTAAACTCACATTGTAGCTGCTTAGGACACTGGAGCTGTCAAAGGGAACTGGATGGTTCAAGAGGCAGATTATCCTATTAACATCCTTTACCTCTAAGCTCATGTTTAGCATTGCTTCTCATGAGTGATGATATAGAAATCATCAAAGTATGGTAAGGAGTTCTCAAATTAATTTTCAGGAAAAGGCAACATAAACATGGGGAATACTACCTTTGGAAGACCATCTGTAGTAATTTAAGACACAGGCCAAGGACTCTGCACACTTCTCTAAAGAGGTCATTCTATTCCTTGCTTCTTATCAGTATACTCCATCTGGGTAAAATAGTCAATGCCCACTGCTTCTCTCTTTAAAATTGTGTACACAAATCTCACCGTGTAATCATGTTGACATGTACTTTGCATGTAAAGCCATATTTGGGTTCTAAGTCTATCTATCTCTTGGCTTGGAAACAAGGGCAGCTTAGTCTTGGCTTGCATTATTTCCTCCCATCCCTTCAAATTTGTCAGAGGTACCCTTGGATCAGTTAAGCTGCTATTGAAAAATGTACATAGAAATGACAAGTGAATTGTTCCTCTGGGTTAATTTCTAAGTGGCCTGGGAAGAAACCTGAAGAGCTTTTAAGCATGGTGGCAAGTTCCATTTGCTTATATCTTGTTTATTTAATTGACTAAAACTAAAAGGCTGTAATCAAAAAATAATTTGAAGAACTCTCAACTAATTTCCTTTCCAACAACCTTTTTTTAAACTTTTTTTTTTTTTTTGCAACTGGTAGTTTTGCTTGCTTGCCAGAATGACTGTGTTGTTTAAACCGCAAAGGTTAAACAAAAAATGCCTCCCTCGCTCTCATACATTTACAAGGTAGATTAATGAATACCCAGTTATTTGGAAAATATCTCAACAGAAGAATTATTTACCTGACCCGTCTCTTCAAATCTTTTTCTGTCTGCACTGTCAATTACATATATCTGTAAGGTAAAAGGAGAAGGTTACTTCAATAAACAGATATAGAAGAAGATAGGGCACCTTCTGCAGAAGAAGCAGAGGATCCCTAGGCAGATTTCTCATTAGCACAACAAATGGAAACTGAGCTGAAAACTCTTACCTCATCTATGGATGCAAAATAAACTGATGGATTGATTGATTGATTTAAGGGGGATACCCAGACAATATGTCCAGCAAAGCTCCAAAGCAGATGTCAGGAGAGCCAAGAAGGATAAAAATGGGTATATTTATTGTGTATTCACTGAACAATCTTGCTTAGATTTACCCTATTAATCCTCATTATGACTCTATGAGATAGATTTCATTATTTTCCCATTTTATACATAGATAAACATAAGCCCAAAGAAGTTAAGTATTATGCCCAAGTTCTAATAAGACTCCGATTCAAACTCAGGCCTGCCCGAAAGTAAAGACCACAGGTGCTCTTGAGCACTCTGCTATTCTACTTCCCAAATTGTCAGGAAGGGATGGTGTTTTGAGGCATTTACAAATACCACAGTCCTGGAGCATCATGGCTCTGAAAGTACATTCTGCAGTATTAACTATGCGCTGACTTCAAGTGCCAAGGTAGGAGAACCACTGATCTCCATTCTATTCCCACCTTCTCAGGCTTGCTGGGAGGTTAAGATCAAGCATTGGAAATAGCAAGGGCACAGGCTCTGCCAGAAGTAAGAGAAGTCTCAAGAGTCACTGTAAATTATAAATCCCAAGCTTTCTTTCCTATCACTGAATTTTATTAATTGCATAAACAACATCCTGTAAGAACAATAAGGGAAATGAAGTAAGACCAAAGAAGAAAAATCACCTAAAGTTATAGAACCCAAACACATTAATTAAATTTCTTGTGAAAGTTCCCTTCTAATTCTTCTTCATAATTAGAAAAGAAAATTATAGATACAATTTTGTTGGCCTTTTTAAAAAAATATTTAATCTCCACCCCCAATGTGGGGTAACTCATAACCCTGAGATCAAGAGTTGCACACTCCTCTGACTAAGCCAGCCAGGTGCCCCTTGTAAGGCCTTTTTTTTTTTTCATTAAACGACATATTAAATGTTTTCCCAGTTGCTAATCTTAAAAATTATCAAATTTGCAAGCTTTCTTTAAAGAATTTTGTTATTAAACTAATGGTATAAAAACACTCTTTTAAAAGAGCATTATTTGGGGCGCCTGGGTGGCTCAGTCGTTAAGCGTCTGCCTTCAGCTCAGGTCATGATTCCACGGTCCTGGGATCGAGCCCCACATCGGGCTCCCTGCTCCATGGGAGGCCTGCTTCTCCCTTTCCCACTCTCCCAGCTTGTGTTCCCTCTCTTGCTGTGTCTGTGTCTGTCAAATAAAGAAATAAAATCTTAAAAAAAAAAAATAAATAAAAGAGCATATTCACTCAAAAACAACAAAAGGGATGCCTGGACGGCTCAGTGGTTAAGTATCTGCCTTCGGCTCAGGTCATGATCCCAGGGTCCTGGAATCGAGTCCCACATCGGGTTCTCTGCTCAGAGGGGAGCATGCTTCTCCCTCTGCCTGCAGCTCCCCCTCCTTGTGCTCTCTCTCTCTCTCTGACAAATAAATAAAATCTTTATTATAAAAAAAAAAACACCAAAAAACAGACTGTAAGTCTCACCTCTCCCTCCCTTCAATTACATAAACTGGTACACTGTAATGCACACAGGCATTTCTGTATGCATGTCAAATTCTGTGCTACTCTGAACATTGGCTCTCTTTCGAAAAAAAAAAATTAAAATTCCCTTGCTTGATGTTCTCTCATTTAGAGTTACTCATGCTAAATATTATACCAGGAACCAAGTCTCAGCCTTTCCTATGAAGAATACCCTATGTTTCTTTCATGGAGAATCACAGGAAGAGGAAAGATTTACGTGTTTGGTCTCGGTATTTTTTTTTTTTTTTTTTTGCAGCCTTATTGTTGTTCTATTACTCTGACTCAGTATCAATACATGCATTAATGGGCTCTGCCCACAAATACTCCAGATTTGATGCTGACTGTCTGGTAAGTCAACATGAAGAACATGGCGGTAGCTTTCTCTCCTGGAGGGGCTGGAGTTTTGAAAGTAGCAGGCATCGTATACACATAGCTGTGGAAAGAAGGAATGCAACGGGAAGTAAACCTCACTATACAGAGTTGATTGGAATTCGTGGGGAGTCTACAGTGGGTTAGGATGATCTTCACTCAGCCAACAGTGTAAGAAGATGGGAGGGAGGGAGGCAGGGAGGCAGGGAGGGGTGGGTGTTGGCTGGGAGGGGGTTTGGGCTCAGAGGGCTGCCTGAAGGCAGTGAGCAGGTCAGTGGGCAAGAAAGAAATTACAAAGTAGGAAAAACTCTACTTGGGTGCAAAGGATGTGAGTAAGAAGGGAAGAGTGGAAAGGGGAGGCTGAGACAGGCTGAGACAAGGCTGAGAAGGTGAAGATACAGTTAAGAAATTGATGTTTTATATGATGAAACACAGACAATTGGAGAGAAAGGAGGAATGGAAAGATGGTTTAAATCACAGACAAGAAAGATCAAATACCAGAGTCTGAAGGTGAATGAGAAGACGTTTTTAACTTAAAATTGCTAAATTACTTGCTCTTTATTGCTTTGACAGGAAATTTCACAGGAAACATTTTCATTGAAAGTTTCAAAAGGAGGAGGCACCTGACTAGCTCCGCTGGGGGGAGCATGTGACTCTTGATCTCAGGGTCATGATTTTGAGCCCCATGTTGGGGGTGGAATTTACTTAAAAAAAAAAAAAAGATTCAAAAGGAGGATTTTCCTAAACTGCACATAAATTCTATCATTTAGTATGTTTCTCACATAACTTTTATAAAATTTGAAATTATTACACAATAATTCCAGGAGAGAGTCTATAAAACAACTGCCCCATTTATTAAAAGGGCCAAGTGAAAAAGTCATTAGCATAAGCCAGTCTCTGGTGATCCCACAAATTTGTTTTTCTGCGGTGGCATACTCTTCTCACTGTCGCCTGCCTCCCCAGTGCTGTCCATTGTTTTCACATTTTCACCCAAGTATCTGTTTTCTTCTGGTCAATAGCTAAGGATAAGGTTAGTCTATCTTTTTTTTTTTTTAATAGCTGTTAATCTAGTCAAATAAAATTTTTTTAGAAACTTTATCTAAAAACAAACTACTAATGAAAAAAAATACCCTGGGGGCACCTGGGTGGCTCAGTCGGTTAAGCGTCTGCCTTCAGCTCAGGTCATGATCCCAGGGTCCTGGGATCGAGCCCTGCATGTTGCTCCCTGCTCAGTGGGGAGTCTGCTTCTTTCTCTCCCTGCTCTTGTGCTGTTGCTCACTCATTCTCTCCCTCACTCCCTCCCAAATAAATAAAATCTTTAAAAAAAAAAAAAATACTCTGAAAGTATCCGGGAAAGTTAAACATTTATAGTGTTTTTTTTTTTTTTAAGATTTTATTTATTTATTTGAGAGAGAGAGAATGAGAGATAGCACGAGAGGGAAGAGGGTCAGAGGGAGAAGCAGACTCCCCGCTGAGCAGGGAGCGTGATGCGGGACTCGATCCCGGGACTCCAGGATCATGACCTGAGCCGAAGGCAGTCGCTGACCAACTGAGCCACCCAGGCGCCCCACCATTTACAGTGTTTCTAACTGATCCTAAAACACGAACTGGGGCACCAGGCTGACTCAGTTGGTGGACTGTGTGACTCTTGATCTCCGGGTTGTGAGTCTGAGTCCCATGATGGAGTGGAGATTACTTACAAAATAAAATATTAAAAAAAACATGGACTTTCAAAAATCAAATTTCATAAGCTATTCTAAAATGAAGTTATAATCCATGGCATTCAGAATGATGCTTTACCTAAGCAAAGCCAATTTATCTTGTCCTTGGCAGCTGTTTTGAAATTTTTATTTGGTTGTGGAGGAAGAGCAAGAGAAGATGACTTTTTCTTGACAGAAGTTGAACCAACTCCAGATTATGCAGAGACCAGTTAGCTACCCAGCCATGTGAATGGAGGGCGCTTTGTTTCTCCTCTTACTTCGGGTCCTCCTCCCTCCTGCTGCCACCTTTCGGCCATTTTACTGCTCCATAGGCTTCCTCCACAAGAGGGGTAGGCAGAGATAAGGAAAGATGACACAGTGGGCTTGATATGGTAGCTCCAGCAAAAGTCTAAGAGGAAGCTGAAACTGACAAATGAGGTTTCTGGGTAATGTGGTTTTCATTTATCTGTGTTCTAGAAGTACTCAGGCTCAAGTGTGAGTGGTATCATGGAAATAATACAAGAGATGATTGAGATCTATCTCACTTGATGTCCTACACTTTGGGCATGGAAATGATGACAAAGTTACTTTGTTTATATCAGGTTGCATCTGAACACAAAACTGATAATAAAGCAAAGAGAGTTTAGAAGTAATATGACCATATCTTGAAAAACTATGTATTTTTAATCTATCAAAAAGCTGTTATCTTCTGGTCCAAGAGAAATGGAAGACATTCTATCCCCTCCCTTCTATGACCCCTCAAGTTTTATTTCTTAGTCATTTCCCCCAAATTATTAAAGCTGAAGTCAGCTGTTCTCAATATCATCTTCCCTGAGAATAACTGGCACTTTTAGGAGTTGCCCTGACTCTTTCAAACCTCTAGAGAACCATTTAATGCTCAAAAGTGGGGTTTGTCAATCCTTTTCTGTAAGGGGTTAGGTGGTAAATATTTTAGGCTCTGCGGCCTACACAATCTCTTTCATAACTACTGAACTTTGCCGTTGTAGTGCAAACCATAAAAAAATCCATAAACAAGTGGACGTGGCTGTGTTCCAACAGTACTTTATTTATGGACTCTGAACTTTAAATTTCATATTATTTTCATGTGTTATGAAATATTATTCTTTCGATTTTTCCCCCCAACCACTTAAAAATGTGAAAACCATTCTTAGCTCACAGGCTACGTAATAGGAGGCAGGCTGGATCAGTTTGTCGACACCTGCTCTAAAGTAAGAACTT